CATATTATTGCATCTTTAAATTATTGAAATTCCCATGAACTCACGAACTGATAATCGATCACTGGAAACTTATTTCTGATATTTTTAACCAGTGGCTACCACTTTTAAGAGACGGACACTTGCAATCGGGTGAATTTAGTTTACCCGCGATGCTGGATCCACCACCGGCGAATTATTCGTACATCGCACCTGACGTTCTTCTACCAGGAACGAGATGGGTGGATGCCCACAGAGGAGTATTTACTGTGATTTTAGAGCCCGTATCTAGCGTTCATCCCCAAGATAAATATATTGATAGGTAATATTCAACATATAGTTACTCTTATTTATATTCAGGCACATTCCAAAACGGAATAACTTTTTTAATATTGGTTTAACAATTTAATTTTCAATGGGATGCTAGAGTACAATGTTGTATGTGTATATATCATGTACAAAACTCCATAAAAATCGATTTATGTTACTATGAGCTACAAACAATTAGAACTTTAAAAAATCGCAGGTTTCCTACAATTTGTTTAATCCAATATTTACAAAATTATTGTATTTTGAAGTGCGTCCGAATATTAATGAGAGTCACACTACATGAAACTAATCCCAATCGCAATTACAAGATATACGAATCCAAATCTCTGAATACTTGAAAAAAAAATTAAAAATTGCCAGGTTCCTTTCGCTATGTGGATTCCTGGAAACGGGCCAGGTGCCTCCTCGCATCGGAGAAGCGGGAATGGAATCGGAATTGAAATCAGCTCTACTGGAATTGGCAAGAGCGTCGCACTCAGCTCTTGTACGATCGCTACCTCAATTATTGGATCAATTAATATCGCTATTAGTACGACCGCCAACGCTGCCTTCTCAGCCCCTAAACATAGCAGCTACTGTGTTCGAGGCTATAGGTCTTTTAGTCCGAAATATCACTAATCTTCCCGACGGTCAATTGGACGCTCACGGAAGACACGCTCTTTTGGCGACGTACGTCGCATACCAGTGTTCTTTACCGCAAATGACTCAAGCACCTGGCATCGTTCGAGCCCAAAGCAACCCTGACCTACCACTAGAAGATCTTGAAATGGAGATCCATTCCAGAGGACTGGACCGAACAGCCTCAATGCGGCAGGAATCGCCGTCCATAAACAGTCAACCCACCAGAAGACTTTTACACGAGGAATTAGCTTTGCACTGGGTCGTTTCTACGGGACAGGCGAGGGAATTGGCTGTGACCTATTCGTGGTTCTTTTTGGAATTGATCTATCGCTCAATGGTTGTGACGTTAGCGGAAATGGGAATGCTGGAAGTTCCGCGGAAATCTCGATTCTCGCCGCAATTCTGTGACGACGTGGCCACGCTTACCGCTGCGCTGACCTCGGAAGTGATCTCACGTTGCGGAAAGGATACTAGAGTACCTAACAATTTGATATTTAGCCTAGGCAACTTCCTCTCTGATCTGTTATCAGTAATGGACAGAGGATTCGTTTTGTCCTTAATTCGTGCTGCCTGTTGCTCCCTGTCTGACGCATCAATGCATATACCTGACTCAGCCGCGCTTTACGCATTGAAATTGGATCTCGTGCGAACGGTGTGCTCGCACGAACATTACGTGGCTCTCAACTTGCCATTTGGTACCGGATACACTTCGGGATCGGCGCCAGCTTCACCCAGTCCATCGACTGGTAGCTCTGGCAGTTTGATATCTACTTTGGTGCCCGGAGATCGAGCCAGGTTCTCCGAACTCAGCCAAGAGTTTCGACAACAACATTTCTTAGTAGGCATCGTTTTATCTGATTTATCGAACACGTTAGAGATACCGAATCCTATGCTTCAAAATAAAGCCATCGGAAGCATCCGACATTTAATGGCGTGCCATGACGTAGATTCGAGATACACGGACCCCTCTGCGAAAGCCAGAGTCGCTGCATTATATCTACCACTTTTGAATATTATAATGGACGCTCTGCCACAGCTCTATCATTGGGATTCAAAGGATAAAAGCGTGTATCCCGACGAATCTGGGTCCATCACACAATCCGTAGCACTAGCCATAGCAGGCGGAGTTTCTGCGGAAACGGCAGGGGCTCAATGCAGAGTTTCTTTGAGCTCTGAAGCTACAAGACACCTTTTAATGTGCGTTCTATGGGTATTGAAAGGATTGGAACAATCTGCATTGGCTCAGTGGTGCGCGGAGCTCAGTTCTAGGCGTATTCTGTGCCTTCTTCAAGTTCTTAACATCGCTACTGCCGCGTTTGAGTACAAGGGTAAAAAAGCATTGAAGAGACTGCCGCCGCAGGCTGCGGCTACTAGTGATATCCGATCTAGATTAGAAGACGTGATTCTCGGTCAAGGAAGCGCCAGAAGCGAGATGATGTTGCGAAGAAAGGAGAGAATGAGCGGGGATAAACTTCGGTGGCGCAAAGATCAAATGCCTTATAGGTATGGGAAATAAATTTCACTTTTCAAGAGATAACTTCGATTTTTCAAACTTTCCTTTTAAGATCCTGCGAGCAATCGGAAGCGAGAGCAGTGGAACAAGATGCTCATATAGAAGGTGCCTTAGCAGCTGAAGCCTCACTGGTAGTCCTCGATGCTTTAGAAACTGTGGTTCAAGCCGATGGAGGCGGAGGTACGGTAATAATAGACCGTGGATTTTTATGCATTTATGAAAGACATAACTGTATTGAAAACTCAATATGCAAAAAGCATAGAAACTAGAAGTAAAGTAAATACTATGATATTCAATTCATAAATGCAAATTGTATCTATATTTCATTCTTCGATTCTCACTTCTAAAAATCTGCAATCTAATTATCTGAATTTTATGAATCTTGTTCTTCTGGTATGCTAGGTGCGGTTGTAGGAGCGGTATTGAAAGTTCTTTTGAGAGCGTTAGCCAGGAATCAGAGCACGTCCGTGTTGCAACACATGTTCAATACTCAGCGAGCTTTAGTGTTTAAGTACCATAGCGCACTTTTCGACGAAGAGAGCGAGAGATGCGGTGATTTGTGCTTAACGCTGCTAACCAGATGCAGTTCTCCCTTGAGTGCTGTTCGCAGCCATGCTGCTGCCAGTCTTTATTTACTCATGAGACAGAATTTCGAAATTGGCAATGTGGGTACAAGAACATACTTAGATTTAAGAGATTTCATAAACATGACAGGCATCGTAATATTTTTAGAACTTTGCAAGAGTAAAAATGCAAGTCACGACATCCCTGTCCGCTCTCGTTGGAAGAGGGAGAGCACCCAGCGAAGGAGCACTTAGGAGAGCATTAAAAACAGTATTGGTGTACGCTGAACGGGATACTGAACTGGCAGACACGAGCTTCCCAGAACAAGTAAAAGATCTCTTGTTCAATCTACACATGATACTCTCTGATACCGTTAAGATGAAAGAATTCCAAGAGGATCCAGAAATGCTTTTGGATCTCATGTACAGGTAATAAAACAAAACATACATAATATTCCAGAAAATTATAGCATTACAAAAGTATCGAAAATTTTCCAAAGTTTGGAAGATAATTACTCAGATTAACGTAGGGCGATGACTTTTCTTTTAAATTAAAGCTTAAAACCTCTACATTAAAAACTATCCAAAAAGATAAACATTCGTTTTCTCTTCTAAATATTATAAACATATATTTTACTTTGAATATTTTGTACTTCCTTGCACATTATTATATATATTGTTTCTTTAAATTATTGAAAATCCTCATAAATACATAAACATACACAGTCTAACAATAACAATTAATAATTCGCAAATCTATAGAATTGCCAAAGGATACCAAGGCTCACCGGACCTTAGACTCACGTGGCTGGCAAACATGGCACAGCAACACATGGAGAGAAAGAATCACACGGAAGCAGCTATGTGTTTGGTTCATAGCGCGGCTTTAGTAGCAGAATATCTGCACCTTCTGGAGCCTGGGGGTGGAGGACGACCTGTGGGAGCTGTTGCCTTGGCTCCTGTTACACCAAACGCTTTAGAAGAGAGTGCAGTGGGTGATGACGTGCTAGCAAGAAGAGAAGAAGGTCTCTGTCTGGGGCCAGATTTTTCAGAAAGCGGTCTAGCTGGTTTATTGGAACATGCTGCCAGCTCTTTCCATGCAGCTGGCATGTACGAAGCGATACCTGACGTCTACAGAGTTCTGTTACCCATTGCAGAAGCAGCACATGATTATAAGAAACTAGCTAATATTCACGGGTACGATTGATCGTTAATATCCTGGAAGATATTATGGATACGAAATCTATATCATTTTATTTCTTTCTAATTGTAGTAAACTTCATGAAGCATACACAAGAGTGGAACAGCTAGCAGGGAAACGAGTGTTCGGGACGTATTTCAGAGTTGGATTTTACGGAAGTCGTTTCGGTGATCTCGCGGGCGAGGAATTTGTTTACAAAGAACCGACTTTGACCAAGTTACCAGAGATATTCTCGAGGCTTGAGAATTTCTACGCTGAGAGATTTGGCGCGGAGAACATTGTGATAATCAAGGATTCGAATCCTGTAGATCCTAGCAAATTAGAACCGGACAAAGCATACGTTCAGATTACATATGTAGAACCGTATTTTGAACCACACGAACTAAGGCATAGGCCCACTATTTTCCATCGAAATTTCAACATCAGTAAGTACATTGCAGGAAATCAATTTTCAAGTCTTCACTTCTGATTTATTTTCATTTCTAATGTAGAACGATTTGTGTATGCGACGCCATTTACACCTGGTGGGAAGGCTCACGGAGAACTGAGGGAGCAGTGTAAACGCAAAACTATACTAACAGTAGCAACACACTTCCCTTATCTAAAGACGAGAATTCGAGTGGTCGCTAGGAAGCAGATAGTCCTGAGCCCAATCGAAGTTGCAATCGAAGACATCCAAAAGAAAACCGCAGAGGTACGTTTACTTGAAATACAAAAATTTCCTTAATTCCTCGTTGTCTTTATTTATCTCTCTTAGGTTGCAGCAGCAACAGCCCAAGAACCACCTGATGCAAAAATGCTGCAGATGGTCCTTCAGGGTTGCATTGGGACAACAGTGAATCAAGGCCCTGCAGAAGTTGCAGTCGTGTTCCTTTCTGGTTTGAGAGAGCAAAACGCTCAGCCTACTAGATTGCAGCACAAACTGCGCCTGTGTTTTAAGGATTTCTCAAAGAAATGTTTAGACGCCTTGAGGAGAAATAAGAATCTAATCGGGCCGGACCAACGAGATTATCAACGAGAATTGGAGAGAAACTACCAAAGATTAACAGAAAGGCTGAGTCCTCTCATTGCTTGGAGGTAATTCAAAAAAATCTGAACTGAACAATAGCTGAATCTTAAAATGTTTTATGATTTTACAGTGGACCTCCGTTAGGAAGCCAACAGAATATTCCAACGACATCACCACGTTGGTAATCTGACTGAATAACAGTTACCAAAGATCACTGATACAAGTATTTACTGTTCATAAAATATTAGCAGCATATGCTATTCACAGCATCAAAGTATATATTTATATCTATCAACCTTTTTTATAATGATTATTACTGCTATACATAGTGTCTGCCTTAGACAGTTTAAGATAACAAGATTAGAGCTGCTAGTCCTCTAGTTAAAAAAGGAACGTATTATTTGATACAATTGACTATTCAATAATTATGAAAGATAATATTGTTTATTATATGATTAATATTTTCTGTGAGACAGATTCAACTTGAACTTTACTTTTTTATATGCTATGCTTGCTACTCTTACTTTGGCAGTAGCTGCAGGGATGTCAATACTAAAGTAACAATAATGATAATAATATTAATTTTCTATGTAACTGTCTCTCTAACAGTTGTAGACAATTATTATTTTCAATTGTCTATGATACAACATTTAATATATTATAACAGTTGGTAATCACAACTAATAACGATTGATTTTATATTTTGTATCATGATACATAACATACTGCCTAGTATATAGAAGCTAAATGTCTATTTATGTATTTAGTCATTAAGGAAGCTGTGATTTTTTAATTAAACATGGAAATATACATATTATCTCAAGCCAACAGAAACTTCTAATAATAGGTATCTTTACTAAAGAAATGTAACAGTTTTGTAATCATGAACAAATTCATTGCACTTACAGTAGAGAATTTATGTTTTTACATGAAATTCACAATTTGTGTTTATCTTTAGATGATTAAATATTTTCTATGAATAATTATTAGAAGTTTCTCTAATCTTTTTAGACTCAGTTAGTGTATGTTTGAAGGATGCACTCAGCTTACTATTCAACAAATTTCAACAATATAACAAATGTACTTTTTATGACATTAAATGCTTTTCTAACAAATGTATGAGGCTCTTTTGAACTATAACCTTCTAGCAGAAAATGTAATGTTCAAATGATTTCTAACAAACACAAGTGTACATGGTCATCACATATGGAATTTAAAAAATAAGATGAATAATGTAATTATAAAATTAACAATACAGGTTAATTACCTTCGTTTACATTTCCACTGCTCTTAGGAGGCGAATGTAAGAGAAAAACCCACGAAATGTCTTCAAAAGTCGCAGTAAGTACACTTAAGAACACTACCAAGAACACTGAATGGACACATATTTTTACCAACTAACTCGACAAACTCGACGTAATTACAAGATCTTTCATGTTACAGAATATCTAAAATATGCAAAATTTCTCTATCTCGACATTCTTCAACAGGCTCTACTTTTTTAAACACAAAATGATACACTAAACAACGACGTTACACACCGGATTGAACTTTGAACTTTTTCACTGTCGCAATTCCAAATCGCGCGTTAAAATCTAAGATGGCGCGAGTGGGGGTGGTTTGTTTCGAAACGCCCGCGGCATTTAAAACAATTTTCACCCGCTCTAATTTAAAATGTTACAATAGAAAGAGCTAAAAGACATTATTCAAAAATTACAATTAAACATTTTTAATAGTGTAATAATATACAGGGTGAACCAATAACTTTAGCTTGAGTTACGTAGATCTCATAATCACTTTCACGTTCTTAAATATAATTACATATTTTTTAGGCACTGTTAGGTAAGAATTACATATTTTTTAGGCACTGTTAGGTAGGTAAGAGTTATTGTATTAAATCAAACAAATACCATTAAATCATGTCATTTATATAAATTATTACCTAAAAGATTTTCTTTAATGTGGCAAGTCTTTAAAATATTCGTTAGTTATTCCTAGACCAGTTTTTCATCATTAACGCTGACATAATAATGAGTATTTTAAACCGAAATAAAATGTTTTACGAACCTGGATCGAAATTCCATCCATCGAGTGGCGGACACGTTAAGTACCGTAGCGAAAGGATCAAGAATTTCGCGTGGATTCATTAAACGTTTCTTGCGCGTGGCAGGGTGCGGATCAAAGGTCAGCCGGCACGTTGCCGCGGCCGATTAAAGGGACGACACGATTGTATCTTCGGCAGTCATTTTATCCCCTAAGCAGGATCCCCTTCGCTGTAAACTACTTGTTCCGATCGTCCCCCTTGTACTGGCACCCGGGGGTCAAGTGCTTCCAGCCACTTAAATTCGTCGCAAGGGTGGTCCACGCGTCGTCGAAAGAATTGCAACTATTTCATTTCGGGGACAGATTAGACGGATTAGCGACCGACGATACACCGTTTACCCTGTCATGCGACTGCATTCCGCTCAGGAGGGGACGGAGAATATTATTTTTACGAAATCGCCCGGGTAACTTTTCCATGCCTCTACCCCTCCTCTACGATCTGCGTGCGTTTTCCCTTTTATGCCCGGTCGTAACGAATCTGTGGAGGCTGTATATTGCGCGATATCGTTGATTCGCGAATATTTCATGATACGCACCAGAGTTTCCCTCTCGAACGAGTTTCCATGCAAATTCGCTGGTTACCTCGTAAGGATTTCAAATAAAATTTAAATTTGCACAAAACGAAGACAATTATTCAGATGAATTCTGAATTTAGTATAATAAATTACAGGTTTTTTAAATTGGAATTGGATCTGACAATTTGGTATATAATGTACGGTTCGTTTTCAGGTAGATACAATGTATTTCGTTTTAATACGCATGTTCATGCGATACGATAATCCGTGCTCTGCGTACATTAATTAAGTATCCCTTTGAACTGTCGATATCTTTATCTATGTGTAAACCTTTCGTTACTCACCGAAGGGGTTAAGCCGGAAATCGGATTTGAACTTTTAATTTAGAGTAACGGCTTTTCAGATACATTCGGACTAAGGCAGATTTCAATAATGAATAATTATATTTAATCAAAGAAGGTATCAAAGGACATACTGAATAATTATTATAGGTACTCAGAAAGATAAAGCTTTTATATTGATTGATGATAAATTAAGAATAACTGAACCCAGAATAAAAATATTTCAGATGTAGGGGAATTTCGGGATTCAAAGGAATCAAGGTTCTGGGAAAACACAAATAATAATTTATTCATTTTCACATTCTTACGGCACATGGGAACGTTTACAAAATCATCATGATTTCGGATAAATATAGTTAGAGACGTCCGGAGGGTTCCTGTACTCTATTCTCGAGGCGACCGGCGGATACTCCAGCCGTTCTTTCCTACGTAGAATGACCCAGGTTGAACCTCCGTACTCTTCTCTAACGCTAACTACACCTGGAGGGCGACCGGTGGTTATTCCAACCGTTCTCTCCTCTCCATGAGGTATTTCTATATCTACTGGGCGACCGGTGGATAATCCGACCGTTCTCTCCCAAACGCTTAACCTATACATTCTCAGGCGTCCGGGTGACGTCCCCTGTACTCTATTCCTGGTTTGGCGTCCGGCGGAATTTCCAGCCGTACTCTCCTCCAAGGAACGACCCAGGGTAGTCCCCGTACTCTCCTGGCTGTATCGGGCGTCCGAGAGCTAGGCTTCGTACTCTCCCTCTCAGTTGGGCGACCGATGGCTTACCTCGTTCTCTCCCAACCGAGCACAGCAAAGAATGCGAGAATTCGCCGGTCCGACCGCTCCTTATATAACTACGCGTTGCTAATGACGCTGTTAATAAACAATCCGTGTCGTTAGGCCGGCGGTCCCCGCGGTTTTCGACGGATTTTCGCTAACGGGTGTTCATTAGTTTTCGTGGTCGTTACA